TAATAGTCTAATTATAATAATCTCTTATTATTCACTCCTGATAATATTAAGGCCTAAAAATATAAATGATGTGTTTCTGAGAACGGTCTTGAAAAAATTAGGTAGGGTAGGTAGGGTTTTTTTTTTAATAAAAAAATTTGAAAATGTCAAGTGTTCAGAGGTGAGGTGAGTACCATATTCTAGGAGTTTATGATTTATTTTTTGATTGATAATTGATTTTTGAGAATTGAGAATTGATTTATTTTTATTTTTTTTATAAATTTTGATATTTTTTTGAAAATGGAGAAAAAAAAGGGTCGGCCCCTATTTGCTTAGTAGGGTCGGGTTCTCGGAAACACATCTTTTTTTTTTAGGTCTAACCTCTTAAGCTGGGCTTATGTCGGGTTGCGATTGAACGCGACTCTATGCGACTGCAGGCGACTGGCTGCCACTAGTTGCTCGGAATAGAACAGTGGGCAACTAGTCGCAACTGATCTTCCAGTTGCTTTCAGTCGAGTCGGCTCGCAAACGCGCTTATGTCGACATCGATTTTACGGCAACTAGTCGCTGCCGATTGCTTCCATTTGCTCGAAATCCAGTTGCTTCCAGCCGAGTCGGCTCGCAAGCCCGACATAAGCCCCGCTTTAGTGTCACACGTTTTTTATTTAGCCGGTCTCCTCTGATTTGACTTTATTATAAACTTCTACAATGACAGAAAGAGCTCATCTGGGTTTCCTTTAATATACTTTGAGGGCATGCAATGATAGGACGTGAACCTGGAAAGGTACAAATCAGCTTAGCTTTGATGTACTACACTACAAGAATGGGTGGCTATTTCAGGTGGTGCTACTGCAGTGTTTTAAGACTAGTATATTGTCCTGGGGTCCACATGTCTGTATTGGATTTCCCACATCTAGCTACACAGACTTGTGCCCCGCAACCCACTACATTTCACCTGAATTCTCCAAAGACATACTAGTGGGCCTAACTCTTAAAAATTACTATTGACTACTATGGCACTGCATTCACTAACATACTACGTACACTACACTCTCTCTTACTTTCCCTCGTTGTCTCTGCAATTTGGGCAGGTACACGCCATGCGCCTGACTCGCCGCACGCCTGTCTGGATCTGCAGTCCGTCTATCGACTCTCCGCTCTGAGTTTCTGGTGACAAATTGATCTAAACAGAGACAAAAAGGAAATGGCTAGCATCATTTCATGTGGATCACAGACTCCATACATAATGTACCGTATATTTCTATATCCACCACTGCGACGTTGAACTTCGGTACCGGATATTTCTATATCCACCACTGTGACGGATAAATTTACTTCTGTGCAACTGTCGACGACAGTCGCAGGAACTATTAAAGGGACAGTAGCCTCTAGGATTTTACTGCATACAACTGTACTTACTGTATAACAAATCGTCTATACCCACACGTATTTGTCACCAGACACCTAATTTAATTGTTATAATTAATTACACATCAACGCTACGAAATTCGTTATTTGTGTAATGTTTGTTCTTTTTCTTTTATTAAATCACAGATTGAACCTTGCTGTGTGCGTGGTATCTCTACGGGCTATATCGTGTTAAAGGGGGAGTTTGCTCTAGGTTCTAGGGTTATTTTCAGCTAATTTAGGTTATAATTACGCTACATAAGAAGTTTCATGGTTCAATCACCATTAGAAATATTTAAAAAAAATGCTATTTAACCGAACGATATTCATTTTAGGGCAAATTTATCCATATTATAACTGAAACTATATGTCGTTTATAAGATATTACAATCCTTTTGCTTTTAAATGAATAAATAAGAAACACCCTCGGTCTGTATAGCCCTTGGCTGGAAAGTGGTTTTGCGCAACTTATCAGATCGTGCGCTTTGAGTGGCGCCACCGTCGTTGTAATCAAACTGTAGTCGTTAGTTTTAAAACATTTTTTAAATATATTTCTAATGGTGATTGAACCATGAAACTTTTCATGTAGCGTAATTATAACCTAAATTAGCTGAAAATAACCCTAGAACCTAGAGTAAACTCTCTCTTTAACACGATATAGCCCGTAGAGATACAACGCACACAGCAAGGTTCAATCTGTGATTTAATAAAATAAAAAGAACAAACATTACACAAATGAGTCATAACGTTTACATGCTATGTATGTTATAATTATACTATTATATTATTAGGCTACTATCTATGACTATGTTACTATGTATCCTAATCTATAGTCTGAGTTTCCTCTGACCAATGCCCACACCAATGATTTTGGTGGAATTGGTGTGGGTTAGGTCAGAGCAACTTGCCCCCTAAATTTTGCCCCCCGCCTCTAGGAATTTGCTCAGCCTACGGCCCTGCACTCACACACACACACACACACACATCACACACACACACACACACACACACACACACACACACACACACACACACACACACACACACTGTATTACACACATTAATCTTCGCGAAATACCCAGTGACTGACTTGCCATATTGACCCAGCATCACTGACAATTATAATTTCAGGTCAGGCAGAGTGTGATTCTGGTCAAACACAATAAAGTGGCAGGTCATCCAAACCCAAACAGCGCAGCTGGAAACACCGACTGGCAACGTCACATCTGTAAGTAATCATACATCTCTCACTCATGGTGGACGTCACATCCATCATAAGTGTAGTATTACTGGTGGTGGTGGTAGTAGCAGTAGCAGTAGTAGCAGTAGTAGTAGTAGTAGCTAGTAGTAGTAGTAGCAGTAGTAGTAGATAGTAGTAGTAGTAGTAGGTAGTAGTAGTAGTAGCAGTAGACTGCATTAGTAGCAGTTAGTAGTAAGCAGTAGTAGCAGTAGTAGCAGTAGTAGTAGCAGTAGTTGTACTGGTAGTGGCCGCAGCAGCACCGGCGAGGGGTAGTAATAGTAGGTACCAGTAACAGTGCAGTGGTACTGATCTATAGTGGTTGGTGATGGCTCAGTATTGGTTGTTAGAAACATTTTTATTACCACAGACGTTGACATTACAGGAACATGCGTAAGCGACTGCCAGCTTCTAAGCAGTGATTTTCTAAACCAGAAATATTGGCATTTAATGCGGGCTAACTATTTAGGGAGTTAGCTGTGACTGCTTATTATTGTGTTAGTGAGGCTTAAATAAATTATATTCGTCCGTTCAGATTGGCGCTAATTTGGCTGCTAAAGTTCAGTTCCCTCGTGTGTGAACCCACTGGTAATTCTGTCATAGAGAAGTTTTGAAAAGCCCAATGCACGAGCTGAAGGCCTGACGGGGAGCAAGGGGGGGCAGCTCACCCCCTGCTTGTGTTTGACACCACGTACGTGACAGTTCGAGCCGTCAGCTACGTCACGATTCGAGAACTTGCTGCGCACGTCAGCTGATGTCACACATTGGCGGATGGATGGGCGATTTATCGGACGGGAAATTATCTATAGCCAACAAATTTGTCAAATCGACAATACGACTTAAAGCGTAAAAGAGCACAATGCTACTTACCAAATGCGAGCATGCAAGCACAATAAGTTATCCTAGCTTGGATCGTTGAAAACAGCGATCTCGGGCGGTGATCGGAGAAATTCCACGTTTTGGTTATGGGCAAGTTGCTCTGACCTAACCCACACCAAATCCACCAAAATCGTCGGTGTGGTCATTGGTCATAAAAACTCAGACTTAGCTAATCTAATGACATGTTGAGTTTACCTCTAATAACTGGTCTGGAATAATTATTATTAAATCACACTAAAGCAGTGCTAAACTTTGTAATAAAAATAGGCTAATAGGACCTTTAAACCATTGCACACAATTCTTATCTTCAAAATAATACGTACTAGTTATATTTACGACTGTAAAACTTACAACATTGCAGGGCCGGTGCTGAGCAAATTCCTAGAGGGGGGGAGGGCCAAAATTTCGCGCGGGCCAAGTGCTCTGACCTAACCACACCAATTCGACCAAAATCATCGGCCTCGTGTGAGGCATTCGGTCAGCAGGAAACTCCGGACTATAGATTAGGATACATCAGTAACATAGTCATTAGATAGCTAGCTAATAATATAATAGGTATAATTATAACATATATTACTTAAGCATGTAAACGTTATGACTCATTTGGTGTAATGGTTTGTTCTTTATTCTTTTATTAAAATCACAGATTGAACCTTGCTGGTGTGCGTGGTATCTCTATGGGCTATTGTGTTAACTAGTTTGACTGTCTTAATTAGTGCACAGAATAAATTTATCCGTCACAGTTGGTGGATATAGAAATATCCGCGCGTACAGAAGATTCAAACGTCGCCAGTGGTGGATATAGAAATATACGCTACGATTATGTATGGAGTCTGTGGTCCACATGATAATCGATGCCTAGCCATTTTCCTTTTTGGCTTCTGTGGTTAGATCAATTGTCAACCAGAAACTCCAGAGCTGGGAGAGTCGACTAGACGGGACTGCAGATCAGGGACAGGCGTCTCTGCGGCTTGACGTCAGGCGACATGCGTGTACCTGCCCAAAATTGCAGAGACAACGCCGAGGGAAAGTAGAGAGAGTGTAGCATGTAGTATGTTCAGTAAATGCGTTCCATAGTTAGTTCAATAAATTTTTAAGAGTTAGCGCCCACTTAGTATGTCTTGGAGAATTTACAGGTGAAATGAGTGCCGGTGCGCGGCACAAGTGTTGTGTAGTAGATGTGGGGAAATCCAATACCAGACATGTGGAACCCAGGAATACACTAGTCTTAAAACACTGCAGCCCTAGCACCACCTGAAATAGCCCCACCCGATTCTTGTAGTGTAGGTACATCAAAGCTAAGCCTGATTTTATACTTTTCCAGAGTCTCACAGTCCTATTCACTTTGCATGCCCTCAAAGTATATTAAAGGAAACCCAGATGAGCTTTTTCTGTCATTTGGAGAAGTTTATCATAAAGTCAAATCAGAGAGAGACCGCCTAAATAAAAAATGCTGCCCGCTGTGGACAATAAAGCTGGGCGCTTATTTTGGGGCTTGCGAGCGACTCGCGCTGGAAGGCAACTGAGATTTCTAGGCAACGTGGAAGCGATCAGCCGCGACTAGTTGCCGCTAAAATCGACCTTTGTCGACATCAAGCGCGCTTGCAAGACCGACTCGATCGAAAAGTAAATACTGTGAAAACGTCAGTGCGTCCAGTTGCCTACTTGCTTCTATTCCGAGCAACTTAGTGGCGGGCCAGTCGCATGCCAGTCGCATAGAGTCACGTCGAGGTCGGCAATTTCAAATCGCACCCGACATAAGCCCGGGCTTTAAGAGGTTAATATTATCAGGAGTGAAAATAAGATGATTATATATTAGACTATTTATTATTCACACTTGATGTTGTGTTTCTCCAGTGGCCACCAGGGGGAACAAGAAGAAGCAGCACATCGTGCCCTCACATTCCGGCTGCAACAAGGGTAGTCAGACGTCGCACCTACGCGCCTCATCTACGCTGGGCACACCGGGCGAGAAGGCCCATTCGTTTGCAACTGGCTCTTTTGTGGGAAGAGCTTCACGCGGTTACGATGAGCTGCCAGCGCCACTCGGACGATACACACACAGATTAACCGGCGACGCCCTCTGTATCTTATCCTCGGTGTAGATTTGTAGGAACGAATACTGCTTCCAGTGGCGTGGTACAGCGGGGGGGGAGTCCAGGGGGTCCGAGTGGGACCCCCCCCCTCGCTCGCGCAGAAAACGCATTCTAACGAGGTCTAATTTCAAAAATTTCCAAAATCCCCAGACTCCGCCCTTCGCCGGTGCTTGCAAGTTTTCGTTACGGGTTAGACTCCCCTCCCCCCCCCTGCGTACATAATCCTGTACATCTGCCCTGGCCTTCTACGTGGCACCAGATCCTTAAAGTAGTTGTGGGTTTTAGAAAAAGAAACGGAAGCGAAATGTAACCTGAAAAGGGAATACACATCCGATGCAACACACCACAGGTATTAACCATTGTGCGTGATTGCACCCTTCTGTCTGGCAAGCTGGTAGTCGCACAATTGGGGTGAGGCGAATATGCCTATCCTGAGTTTTCGCTTTGTGTAATCACGAGTTAGCAAGGTAGCATTATTCACATGCCGTCTAAGCCGCGTAGGTGTGAGATCGCTGAAGAAATGGGAGTTTCTTTTGCAGCTGACCCTGGCTCCGTAGCCGTGATGTGTTCTTAGGTGCTGCATTGGTAGTGGAGTACGGTGGCTTGTTCGTACATCTGCGTTTGTGCGCATTGTTTTTCCCGACATGGCGTGAGAAACGTTCTTCACTGTGTTCCTACGAGTGCGCAAAAAGTATTCATGTAGGAGCGACATCTATATTCGAACACCATCGCAGACCGCACCAAAGCAAGGCATCAGTTGGGCGCCAGGCGCCACCAGGATATGAAATTTGCCGTTCCGCTTCACTTTAGTGCTGTTTGATAGTTTCTATTGCCGAGAGGCTGGTTTCTGCATTACTGAGTTTTGTTTGAGGGCAAGGCTTGGTGATCTGCGTATGACTATTAATTGTGTCATGCTCGTCGGCACGCTCTAGTTGCCATTTTCATGCCAGTCACTAGTTTCGATTTTTCTCTGTTTATCCCTCTGTCATTTTCATTCCTGTATGAAAGTCATTCGCCTGTTATTTTCTGTTGTATCCAGGCCTACGAAATTCAGTTTTTTTACCAAACCCTCACAATTTTGGTTTGTAAAATCAATTGTCCATGTCCACGCTTGCAGTTCTCGATTTCAAACTTTGAAAATGTCTGAATAAATTATGGCCGTGATATCCTGTGCAGGCTAAAACAGTAATGTAGGCTTATTTTGCCTCATTAATGCTATAAATATAAATATTGGTACTCACTAACACGGCTGAAACACCACCGGTCGAGGACCGGCGCTGTTTTGCCCAATGTTACCGGCCCTCCAATAATTTGCCAGGCTTGTGCTGCTCTTGGACGGTGCCTAATTGTCGCGCCCTTGTAGTATCGTACCACGCCCATTTACATTCTGCCCCTCTCTCCGTCGGTTTCCTCTCATCCAATAATTAACACTCCGCTACTAGTTGATGTTCGCTTACCCATCCGCCAACTTCGATGAGCTATTACTCGAATCTTTACATCAGCAGATGTTTGTCTTCGTTCGTTCTGGCGCTCTCAATTAAGCTCAGTGAAACACTAAGATGAAATGGCTCCCGACGAATGCGCAATCTTGGTGGATTTTGTTTCATGTTTCAATTACCGGATCTATAAATGTTTCTCTGTTGGTTAGCTGCAGGAATACATGGATGGTGAATGATATAGCAGCTTACTCAGTCCATCGCCCATGCCATCCGGTGTCGCTGAGGACGACAACATCAAACAACAGCATCGGCTTCACTCGGATCATCGAGAGGCAGAGCAGTCAGACGGCTGCCATGGAACAGCACGCACTAACAGGATGTCAAACCATATTCATTCGCACAATGTACCACAGATGTGGCGCACGAAACAAACACTATCATCTCTTACCTCCACAGTGTGCAATCAGGTTGCTGTCAACAATGTCTATTGTCATATCACACTGCCCATGTCTTCGCCGCGATCGTCACAATGTCCACTCATTGTCAACACCTTGATGTTACCCTCTCCTGATCCGCTGCATTGTGGTCACATGATGGTCGATTGTCAACACCTGATATGTTGTGTTCACCAAATGTCATTGTCAACACTGATGTCCTTGCTGCTCAACAGAATTCCATTTGTCAAACAACCTGAAATGTATGTGTCAACCCAATGTCATCGTTCAACAAACAAACCTGACTGTCGGGGAACGCGCCGGCGCGCCAGGGGTCGCATGACTTGATTTGTTTACAAAATTATTTGATCGTTTC